TGAGGCTCTGTCTGTTCACTATGTACGCTAGTTTAAAAGGAAACCTCCTCCGTAGTACATGCACCGCGAGGATATTGACAGGCTTGCGGACGGACAAGTCATTGCTTCATGATCGGGTTCCAAGTTTGCACTGGCTTCAGTGAGAGAAGGAAGAGCGTTCCAGACCGAAACAGAAACATGGCGGGATTGCTTTCGCTGTTGCAGACTACTTGCACGCACATGTACTGTAGTAGACACCTATACGATCCTGGTGCGCGCGGCATCACGAAGCTTTCCTCGAACCCTGCCGCGCTTGTGGACGTTGGCTCATCAGTCTATCAAACTCCGCCCTCCATTATCACGCCCAGAAAACGGCTCATCTCTTGTTGAAAAATAAATGCTCTCGCCCGTTCCTTGGCTGTGCTCCTGTTTGTATCCNTGCCGCTAATTCTTTTTGTAGGTGACTCAAAACTCGTACTCTGCGTGGTACTTTTGGCTGATTTGTGGTTGCCCTTGCACAGCCGTTGAAACCAGCTATCAACATCATCATTGGACCAACACACCACCGCCACTTCCCCCGCACAAATCCACGTCGCCCGTTGTTCGCTCCTCTCGCTTCCTGGGACTGACCATTGAGTTCCCCCTACTTGTACCCGAACAACCACAGGTCTGTTCGGACCACTGCAGCGCGTACCCGTACTACGGAACTCAGTATTCGACAGAGGTGAGACTCCTCGCATAGACTACACGCGCAACAGAAGTGGTGTGGATCGAGCGTCGGAACATGACCCCAACATGGTATTGGAAAAACATCGCGCGCGTTGGAGTGGGTCTTTCATATTCATTCTCGGCCGCTGCCTTGTTGTGATGCTCCATCGGGGAACGTGCTGGATCGGCGGTTCCTGGAGAAGCGAACGACGCTGCTTGTTCGGTCTATAGCATGGGTTGTCACTGGACGTTCGCTGATGCTTCAGGTGATCTCGCCTGAACTCCTTTGAGGCCTGCTATTACATGTAGTTTGCAGGCGAGATCCTCCTGCCTCAGGCTTTGCTAATACACGTTGACAGCCTTGGCCTCAAGTCACGCCCACCGACGCACGTAGTCCAAGCTATCGTGTTGCCAACTTCGTGTCGTGTATGCCGCGGCGTCACGACGAAACCCTCGCCCCCTCGTTCACTGCGCTCCCCTACCCCCCTTTTCTGTATACTCGTGAACGAAGTGCTGGTGCGGTGACGAGAACGCGGACTATGGTGCGAACGGTGCCAGCAACGAGTGCGTGGTGCCCTGCGCGGGTGACGCCAGTGAGATGTGTGGAGGCTCCTACAGTATGAGTGTCTACCAGAACGAAGTGGAAATCCCTGTGCACCCCGCGTACCGTGGCTGCTACTCCGACCCAGGCACCAACCGTGTTTTCGTGCAGGACGATTCCTCTGACGAGATGACCGCAGAGGTGAGTGAGAGGGCAACAAAGGCGTGCCTAGACTGTATTGACTAAAGTTTTGTAAGATTTTCGTTTTCGTCGGATGAGGGTTTCNACTTTGTATGATTTTTATTTTCGTCGGATGAGGGTTTCCTGGGCGCGTGGAGTCAAACGACGTCAGCATTGTGAGCCGTGTGAGCTTGAAAAACGCCACACTGGCAGGTGGCAGCCAGCTGTGGGCTGGTCCTGCTGCCTTTCGTGTTTCATCATCCCTTCCTTGATGGCACGGTGCTCTTCTGAGCCAATTCAGGGCCTTGTTAGGTACCTGAGAGGGTTCTGAGAAGTTGGGTTGGAGCCTCCGCTTGGTCGGTGCGCTGAACGACGATGTTTTCCGATGCCGACGTCGTATTGCCATCGCCCGTCAAAATGTCTCAGGCTCTACCGGAGAAAGCGTTCCGAAAGCCAACTCACCATCGCTGCACCCGGCGCACCTACTTTGTCGCTCTCAGCTCATGCGCCCCTATTCACTGCTTCATTCCCCTCGTCCTGATGATTCATCTTTTGGACACTCACCGTTACCCAAACGACCGCAGGTCTGCGCGGCGCAATGCGACGAATCGGCCTTCTACGGAACGCAGTACTCGAGGGAGGTGAGGACCTTGTTTGCTACTCT